AATCCAACCAGAGCTTATTTGCCCAGCATATTATGCATAACCTCTTGATTTTCAGAATTACCTAAAACAAATGTTAACATTTCAGAAAAGCATAACATACAGAAATGACATAGGAAAGAAAACATCCTTAGAATTAATTTTAACAATGTATACAAATGTTAAAACCTGCTTAGAAATAAACATTTGTAACTTGGCTAGTAACGCTTAAGTTATCTTAAAAGACTGCTCACCAAACACATTCTATCTGCTGGTGCCTAGAGGCGAGAGGCGGGGCAGCACACAAATTCACGCCTAAGGGGAATTTAGATTCTTAAATTAACCCAATGTATATTTTGGGGGTTTGTGGGGGAAACTCATGCAAAACTCAGGCGAGCCTCAAACCTGCACCCTTCTAACTGAAAGGTCACAGTGCTACCAACTGTACCACCATGCCGCTGATCACCAAATTGCTTGTAATTTTTTTTCTCAGGTTGGTTATAGAAGCAGCAAAATGGCAAAAAGTGTATCAGGTGGGCTTGATGATATTAATAAAGACTGCCAATCAATGGTTTTATTCTGACTAGTCGATCAAATCAGGAAAAAATGACAAAGGCAGTCTGAGTGGAGAACTCTGGGAAATTATTTTCTGCATTGTCCCTCGGTGAATGAGCCGGATGTTTCTTTGATAGCTGCCTCATCTTTGCTAGATTAATTTTATGGAGATGTTTTATATACAAGCAGATTGAGCAATTTAAGCAATATGTACACCATTATTAGGAATCCACCAGGGGAAGTCTTTTTGTTCGTGTTTTTGAAATTGCTGGCCATGGTGGCTGATAAAAGAGGAAGTGGAGAGTGTGTGTGCGTGTGCGCACTGTGTGTCTCCTCAGAACTGTTCATTTACATACTCTTTGATTCGATGATGTCGGGTTTGCCCGTGTTTGTCATTTTCATTACCAGCAGCATAAAGGACTTGCAAAGAATGAACCACTTTCATCAGCCGGTCATGTTTGAAAGCATGTGAGAGCTGGCAAGTTGAGGGTAATCATGGAACATTAACTTTAATAATGAAACATCAATCTCGAGAGACATCATCTGAAGTTTCGTGTTCTTTCTTGATGTTCTGCTTTTCATGTACAGCCTCAATCTTCATTGTAAATAATGAAAATATAAAGCCTGTCATCATTTACTCACCCTTCAGTTCAAATCACTATTATTAGTACTGCATGCCATAATAAAACTGTAACAAAGCAGCTTGGCTTTAAACTACGAAAATATTGTTAGTTAGGTCATAAGGCAAGGTAGCAAGGAATCTTCAACACAGGCATCAAAACCTTGGAAAAAAAATTCTCGGGAGAAGTCAAAGACGGAGAATGATGGAGTGTTCACGTGCAACATAACCAGCTGTGTGTGGGAAAATGTTGTGGAGGTCTCAGTGGGTCATCTCAGGAGGCCTTTGAAGCCTTGTAATTTATTGTCTGGTCTCATTGGATAGGGTCTGGAACCAGACTGGGGCTAGCACATCAACTGCTTGTAACACTATGATCATTTCAATGAGGCTTTCAAAAAGTTCTTAAAATTATTTACCTGTACATGAATTTTATTTAGTAAATGTATCATCCCTGTCACATTTGTCTCCATTCCGACTGCAATTTCCGTTTTTCTGAACGCTGTTTTAATATAGTTATGGAGGAGTTCAAATATGGTCTTCTGTATAGTCGTCATTAACTGCATTAATTAACTGACCTGTTTGGGACAGAGGGAGCCAACAATGTATTTTAATTTTGTCATGATATTTTAATTTTGTGAAATATAGTTTCAGATTTATTTTTATTGGCCAATGCCTTTCAAGAAAGGACAGTGGAGGGATACAGGAAACAACACACAAAAGAGATATTAAGTAGGGACTGGAAAGGCCGCTGGAGTTGGGAATCAAACTTGTGTCATCCTGCAAAACTGCATATCCCTGTCTGCCCAGCTCACCGCCAACTACAACAAAGAAGCTGGATTCAAATACAGTTTTTGTGTGTGTGTCATGTTTCAGTGGTGACTGTACAAAGAGGTAGAACAATGACGTAATGTTAAAACTGTATTTAACAATGAGTATCAATATAACGCGATCACTCAAGAGTTTCTTCGCTGACAGGATCAGGTAAGTGTAATCCACAGGTAAGAATTCAGGGGTCTCATTTATAAAAAAAAAGTGCGTAGACTCCTGACTAAAACTAAATGTACGTCAGAAAAATCTAATTTCCATGTGAAACAAAAATAATTGTCAAATTTATAAAACCGTTCGTATACACACCTGTAAGCAATCTTCCTTTTATTAATCACAGACTGGACACAAGTGTGCGCAGTTCAGTATGTATAGGTTTCCCAACATGCATCGTCCACACCATATATAGTCAATGTGAAGCAGCTCATAAATACTCATGTACAGTTAGAGCATTCCCTGGCCGTGCTTGCCGTGCTTAGTCACAGGTGAGTATCAACATCAGATAGAAGTGCTGAAAAGAGACCCATCTTGGGTGATAGCGTAAGAATCACTCAACCCGACAACCCAAGATGGAGATCGTCAATACAATGGAAAGGATTAAACCCAGGTAAGAGCAAGGTGTCTTGAAATGATAGCAGAGTACAGCTGAAAGTTTTTGAAGAGGTAACTCACACAGAGATCGTAGGGAACATGTAAAGGTGTCCAGGAAGTCGCAGGGAAAAGACATTGACGTTGGACAAGGGATGCTGGAAAAGCTTGCGCTTTTATTGAATAATGAGGTAAAGATGTTCAGCTGCATGGTGAGTGATTGGAATCTGCTCAATGTGAACTAACATAACATTAACATGTTTTGTTTTTTCAAAAGAAATACATGGATTTTCCCTCTATATTTTTCTGACACATACTATTGCATGAAGTCTATTGGATGACCACATCAGATATAGCCACCATCGGTTGGCAGAAAGAAAGAGATCAATTGTGTGACACTTCACCCTTTCGAATAGACCTCAGATCATCTTCTCGTACTCTCTTTCTCCCACTCTCTCTCTCCCCCTCTCTTTCTCTGTTGCCATGCAACACAGCAGGGCCTGTTTGTCTGACAACATCCAAAGACTTGCTTATTATTCAAGATTTTAAAGGGGCAAGTTTAGGTCACAGAGTTACACAGGGAGCAAGAGCTGTTGGTTGCATCAGTATATGTGTGCGTGTGCATTTACAAGTTAATCAGAAAATGACACAGCCAAGATTGTACTTCATTGTACAAGATTGAAACTAGTATTTACATTTGTCACATACATACTATACTCTGGTTTTTGTGTATTTTTAATATATTTATTGCAAAATCTAAAATGTACTGTAACTTAGTTTTAATGATCACATTATTATTGTCTGCATAATAATGGTGTTTCTGTCAAAGAATAGTTATCGATCTTCACACTTGGCACAGACATCTTTAAAGCTATATCTGACAGTACCCCACTACCACAGGCTGTAATCTCTCAGTTGAACTCTGTACAACTCAGAAAACCATAAGTCTCAACAGACAGCTGCCTGGAGATGGGATGGGTTGCTTAAATCAAGCAGCTTCTGTCTCACCAACAGTAAGGCAAACAAACATCAAGCTGGGCAATCTTCAAAGCGGTGCTCGAACCCTGCTCTCAAATGTCAACAGTCCCAGTGAGACCCTACAGAGGTCAGGTGCCCTGGATTACAGAATATGTGTTAAAGGCTTGTATTGGAGGGCCACAAAGGAGAAAATGACAGACGTAAAGGCAGATCTAGCATTTCAAAAGCTCCAGTAATCTTCAGAGAACACACACTCTCCCATCAAGAAGAGGTCAGATGATAAGCCCGAGAGAGCCTGTAATGGTCTGTCATTAAAGCGTCTAATCCTCTGCACACACACACAAACACACTTTTCCCAAGAGCTTTCACATGGCTATGAAGAAAGTTGCTAGTGCTTCCTTTGCATAATCCACAAAACAATTTGTCATTTTAAAAAATGTGATTGTCCATTTTTAAAAATGTGGCATGTCACATGAAGTTGTCTGGTACACAATTACACAGGCAATGGACAATAGCCTAATCAAACTGGACTAAGGCAAGACTGGATTTTAGCAAGTGAGAAAAGTGAGGAAGAATTGAAATTTGATGTGACTGAGCTTGGATTATTGGGAAGTGGACAGTTTGGTTGATTGGGATGTTGAAATGGACCGAGTTGAGGATAATCTAGTCTGGCAATGGTCTTGTATCAGCAAAACATAAAAGCTATAAAGTCAATTTTCATCATAAATAAAATGCATCATCAACAAAAATCTGTTAAAACACAGGAGCATCCTTTCAACATGTGATTTAAAATATGTATATAGTCAAATATTAACAAACCCATGTCAGGATTACAATTTTCTATAGTTTTTTTTACGTTTTTCAGACAGTTCACAATATTACGTCACAAAGCTAAGATGGTTAGAGTCTAGTTTGATTTGTGTTAAAGCAGTTAATGTAATCCACTCACTAGGGGGCAGCGCTAATGTCTGCATTAGGTCCTCTCTTTTACTCTAAAGTGATGGAGAAAGCCCATTTTAAACGTTCCTACTGTTTCACATTTAAAATGTGAGTTAAAAACATTAAGTACAAGTAAATATGAAATCAAACAGAATGACAACTAAAAGAATTTTCAGAAGTGGCTAGAAACACCATCACTTAAATATGAGATTTTAATTCCTAGGTGATGTGTCCCAGAAATTCCATGATACTTTCTGTGACATATTGCGATATATTGTGCCAGGTTATATTGTTACACCCCTATTGTTTATCCATAATGTAAAACAAATATATACCAGGTGAAGATAACGCATTACTGTATTGGTTGTATTATTAATACATTATTAATGCCATTTTTTAAATCATCAGCCGTGTTTCACCAAACAGTATTACTTTCAAAAGATTTTACCACTTGCCTATTTAAAATTTATAACTATTCATATTTATGCACTTTGTAATGTAATTTTCTACTGGCCAGTATTTTCCTGTGGCTCAGCTGGTAGTGCATTGCACTAACAATGGAAAGGTTGTGGGTTAAAATCCCAGGGAAAGCAAGAGCTGACAAAAAAAGTGTTCTTTCTATCAAAACGTAAGTGGCTTTGAAAAAAAAGCATCTGCCACATACATAAATGTAAATATTGTTGTGTTGCTCTCAAAGAACATTTCCACCATTTGTGTGCTGTAGATATGTGTGAGGGAGAACGAGAACATGGGAAAGGAGTTTCTGTGTGTGCTTCCCAAAGCTACTCTATTCTTTCCTATCCTTAAGTTTTAGGATTCTAAAAGAGTTCGACCTATAAAGGCATGTGTTATTTTCAGAACTTCATGACGTACATTATGAAAATGTAAACCATCTACCTATTAGAGAGGTCCCTGCTCACCTCAGGAAAAGTTAAAAAAGGGATTTTTTTATGTACAAATCTTTATATCCTTATACTTCAACAAGTAAAGTAAACAAATTAACAAAAAAAAAACCATTTAATTTTCCCCTTAAAACCTGTTAGACGCATTGTTTGGTCTTTAGTTAAACTTGAGTATGTGAGTTAATGAAAATAACTTACAGATACATAAGCATGAAAATTGCCGTTTCTGCAAACCTAAGACGAAGCCTCTATGAAACATGACAACTAGCAGCAAGTGTCTTGTCTCCATGGCTACAGGTTGTTCCTCTAGTGATGTCTGATGAAATGAAGTCTCTTTTGTGCCAATTGATCCTGTGCTCCATCGCTGGTGTCACTGTGAGTCATCGAAGAGCCAGCTGAGGATTCACACTCCAGCATCATGAACACAGACAGATCGTTCTCACAGAGGACCGTGTACTGGTTCATCGGTGAATGATCCATTAACAAACACGAGGCACAGAAAGCTTCCACAATCTTCCTTCACCAATATTACAAAGAGTAATGAACAGATTCTGAACGAACAAAGTGTGAAAATGAACCTTGCTAAATGTTGCATGTAGACTTTCTGAAACTTTCTGTTTCCATCAGTTAGCATATTTATTTTATCTAAATTACTTTCAATTAATATTTGAAGATTAAACCCTTTTAAAGAAGAGAGAAAAAAGTAAAGAAAGTAAAGCAAATATAATGGATTTGATTGGAAAAAGTGCAAATCTTTATTGGAGTTTTGTCTAAAATATTTAAACAAAAATTTTCAAGGATAAGACAGTTCTGCTAGTGTCTATCAAGCTCAAGTTTAACAGTTCACCAATTCACACAGGGTTACTATTAGGGCTGAGTAAAAAAAAATGTGATTCTGAGATTTTAATCAATCTTCAGTTTAACGCAACAATATTGATTCCTGATTCCATTCTTAATACGCATACTTCTCGTAAGAGGATATGAATATTCACCTCTCCTTAAAATAAAAGTTGTTTAAAATTAACAATTGGTGTGCACCCTATTATCAATGTAGATGTGTATTTCAGTAGTAAACTGAAGCAGGAGAGTTTCAGTTTCCAGCATTTTATCATTTTACCATGACATTTTAAATGAAATATTTATAGCTTATCGATACCGAATTGAAATCAAATTGAAACCGCAAAAATAACAAACAAATCACCAAATTGGTCACAAAACCCAGTCACTATTAAAAAAATTGTTATGAGCTCACGGCGAGTGAAAAAGGCAGAATTTAGATGCACATTTCAAATGGTCACTTTATTTGACAACAGGAGCAAACTAAATCAGCCTTTTGTAGAGAAAACCTCAAATTACAAAAACTGAGAAGATCTATGCTAACAAAGGAAACTCAGATTAGAACTGGATTAACAAAACCAGCCTAAAAATGGTCCTGATCAACACCATGATCCTACAGAGAAATAAGCCTTGTAAAAGAGCAGAACGGGGCACACCTGAAGAAAAGCTCAAAGCAATCAAGGAGAGAGAGCTGGAAAGATAACCACACCTGAAAGAAATTAGTGAAATCAGGCAGAAGAAAGAACTACAAAACAGCAAGGTAGGAGAAAGTCTATCGTCTTTTATATACGTTATATATAAAAATCTTTTATATACCAATTTTATGCAGATTCTTCATTGCAGCTTCACAGAAGATGAGCCTAATATTGATCCGTTAGTGGAACAGAATGGCTATATGTTTTTAGAGGCCATAGTTAAACATTATTTATATGACGTTACTAGACAGGAAAGCTACATGCTACTACGCCCAAAGAGGCTTGCCCAATGTGGCAGTTGCCTCACAGGGAAATTCAAGCCTCTTAATTATAGACATCTCAGACAAGCTGATCTAGGTCCCCATCAGGCCTCAAACCAGCAACCTTCTAACTAAGACATAGTGAGAACACACTGTCACCCACAGCTATTAACATTAGATAGCATGTGGCTTAGGTTTGTCTAATATTACTTTTAATTACTAATACTGGGTAGTATTTTAAGGAGCAGATGTTTTTAGTTAGTGACGCTCATGTGCATTGTCAACCTGGTACATTTTTTTTTTATTTTGTTTACATGTGAAAACATGGAAATGACAATAAAGTGATCCTAAATCCATGAACACTCGTGTTCACATTATCTCTCTTCACACAAAGAGAGACACTCTATGTTTCTAGTCTTTTGATTTTACAATCAATTCCTCAAGGATCAAGTTAAATCCTCAAAGTATTACATAAAATCCAACCAGATAAAATGAAAATTCCTAAAATTTTTGGAACCAATTCTAAACTAATCAACATTGAATCTTGAAGGATTTAAATTAAATCTACTTCAGTCCTACAGGATAAAACCAAATTCATAAAGATTTCAAGAACCTTATTGTTTGATTCTTTCTGTCTTATTGGATAGAGCTGCAATCGAAACACAGGACCAGAAGAAGTGGTTCTCTAGTGGGTCTCTAGAAAATAATCATTTAATAAACCCCTGACCAAATTCAGTCTTATGGGGGAACATATTGAAACATTTTGGCTATTTGTATGCAACAAAAAGAATGTGTTTGATAGCCAGAACACTGATAAAAGCTGACAGTCACTTTTTGAACTCCATTTGATGCTCTAGGTAAGAACCAGCCCTGTAGAGAACACTGTAGGGACTGAAGTGACTCATGCATGTCTACAACGGCCGCAGCCCTGTGCAGTTAAGATTCAAGCTCCTCTTGGTTTGTTTGTAGCTTGACTGGTATGTGTGGGGAAGCATGGTTGGAAGTAACAAGTGCAGGGCTGCTGCCCTCCAGGATTGACTTTAGACTTATGTACTTTGTCTATAGTGGGAAATGGTGCACTGGCCATTGAATAGCTGATCGGTTGAACCCAGAAACGACAAACATTTCCCATTTCCACATTCTTAATTGCCAGACACTTGCAATTACCTTAACTGTCTTCTAGCAGCAGGCAAACACAGCTAATTAAATCTGTAATTAAGATTAATTCTAAAATGTCTTCTAGCTCCTCTTCAGCAGATGTTTTCTGGGTAGAGATCATCTGAACGGTGGTCGCAGCACACCTTTGGTTCTGCTAAAGTTTTTGATGTACTCTGAATCATTATACACTCTATTGTCTTGGAATGACTGGCATGTTCATCACATCCACCAAGTACACAACATTGAAGGCACTGGACGGCTGTGCACACCATGATGGCTTTCAATCAGGTTTACAGCCAGCACCTAACAGAATGCAAGCTGCTGGATGTAACAGTATGATTTGCTAAAAATGACTGCTGCAAGGTTTTTTTGGTACATATTCTTTTCTTTGGTGTGAAGTCTTACAAAAAAAATCACACTGTGGTACAAATCAGTCTATTTTTTTACAGTATGTTAACAGTACATTATATTTACAGTACAGTACCACCAAAAAATGGAAACATTTATGTTCAACAACATCGTGGTCTAATAATAATAATAATAATAATAATAATAATAATAATAATAATAATAATAATAATAATAATAATCAAAGAAACACTAAGACATACACACACAGAAAAAATATGGAAAAAAAAGACTATAATAATTGCTTCCAGATCTCCTACTGAACTGCAACAAAGAGGATTTGTTCAATAGAAAAAGAGACAGTGTGTGTGTATGAGAGAGAGAGAGAGAGAGAGAGAGAGAGAGAGAGAGAGAGAGACCTGACAGCTGCCTGGCATCCTCTGAAACGCAGCTCAACGTTTACCCTTTTCTGACTGGCACACAATGCATCTATTCAATACCCCCCAAAAAATCTACTTCTATATACACACACAGACACACGCACACATCACTTAACACTCCTGCCTGCTTTGGCCAAAAGAAAACTACTGCATTTCACAGTTTGACATCTTCGGTCTCATTATGAAAGGTTTTGTCACTCTCTGATATACTCTGCAGATGACTTTAGTCAACTGTTGTGCAGTTGGCCACTGGGTGGCGATCTGGTTCCATCGATAGTTTTATAGAGCATCATTGGCACAAGACACTAACACAACACAGACACACACGCATAATACAAGTGATAGCAAAGGACACACATGAGAAGCAGGTTGTATACAAGTTTTCCCTGCACATTAATGCTGATGATTTACTGCTCAGACGCGATAGCGCAGTTAAAAATATCACAAAAAAATATACAAATGATAAATTGACTTTGAGAGCGAGTCAGCATGCATCTTCCAAGCTGGCCATGAGTCATGGCGGAAATCAAAAATAAAAATAATGAGCCATATTCCTTTCAAAATAGCCACTTTCAGAGGACGGGGAAGCAGATGTGATGTGTTTCTAACCTGATTATATGAATCAGAACCATTGAAACAGCCTCTCAATTAGCAGCTTATCAACACGGAAATAAATGTTGAACTTTTAATTAATGTTAATTATGTATTAATTCTTATGCAAATAAACATTGTGCCCTATGGCTTCTGTAATACCTGTCAGAGTCCATCCAGAAGACGAGGATGAAAGCAGAATAAGCATTGGCTTCACCACATTCAGTTAACCATTAGAAGGGCCTTTTTACTTTTTACTACTTTACAATTTTCTTTAATAAATTACCTTTAAAACCCTTTTCTGTCCCAATGCTTTATATATATATATATATGTATGTATGTATGTATGTATGTATGTAT